AAAGCTTATTTGCATCGGAACACGAATTGCAAGTATACTTTTTCTGCATTGCTAACAAAATAGCAACTCACTCTTACCTCTACTCATACCATTACAACCAAAAGGAAAGTTGAACAAAACTTGAACTACATTTACGTCCAGACGCAAAACAGGGGGCCATCTCAGCATTTGCTCAATGGATCACGGAAACTGGACAAAACCCTGATTGAGATGGGGGTCATTGACTCGAAGGTTGAAGTACGTGATTTGTTACAAACACTAAATACTTTTAAACAAATTTATACAGTACAAATGTAAGCTAATTCATTATATATATATATATATATATATATATATATATATATAATCACTGTTTTGTTAAAATAAACATTTTTCTTTTTAATCATCTTTCTTTTTTATTATTATATTACATCGAATGTCCTCTTCAATTAGAAAATGACACTTGATCTGCTATGAGTTGTAAGGTACTATTTTAAGAGAAGGCTTTGTGAACAACCAAAATTGTTTTGATTACGTACACGGATATCGTGTGATTAACAAAAGAAATATTACTCTTGTGTGATCAAAACTTTGAATCGGCACTATTTTAAAGTTAAATTAAGAGATCATGACAGTTGGTTCAACATATCCGTTTATAAAACTTGTGTAAATAATAAGACACAGGTTCAACGGTGGTCATTCATGTACACAGTGCTATATTCCTAAGGTTTCGCTTGAACAAGAAACCATTACAATTATCTGCGTAATGTATCTGGATTGAATAAAAAAAGGTCACACGATTCGTGTATTATAAACTAGCATAAGCAATGAGACTCGTGCCGCATAGACCAACTGTTCAGAATACAGTACCACCAACAGCATTATCAGAGAATTCTAACAGTTCTTCATCAGCTTTGGGTGCAGAAAATGATCTCAAATTATGTAAGAACAGGTAGGATTCACTACTTGATCATATTTCTTGTGTGAATGGATCTCCAGTACTAGAGATAGAAATTTCAGATTAGCTGAAAATAAGTGCCAAGACAAAACTGCAATTAATTGCTTTTTAATTGAATCGCAGAAAATTGTTCTACACCTTTCCATGTAAAAGTTGAAATAATGTTCTTATTTTTAAAAAACTTGATCAAACAGGCCCATCTTTTCAATAATTTGTTCAGAAACAAAAATAAAAGAAGGCATTTTCGTACGCCTACATATTAAGATCAATGGGCCAATAAAAGAGGAAAATACGATGCTAATGAAAGAGGTCTGCGACAAATAACAAAACACCAAGTGGTCTGCATACAAGCATTTTAAGGTTTCTCGTTATGATAAAACTACTGCAAATGAGCTGCAATATCTGATATTACATTAAAAGTGTTACATTTCTGACAGCAGGCAGCAGATCTGATATTCAGATCAATTCTGAATTCATAAATGATTTTTACAATGATATTCTGGGATTTCCATTGGCTAGCCTCAATCATCCGCGCATTTGGCCGCGTGCAGGCGTGCTGATACAGTTCTTTTACGCGAAATCCACACCCACGCGCTTTTGCGCACTTCATGTACGAACACAGCGAGAATTGCTCTACGAGCGTACCTTGCTCTAGCATGAACCTACCACAACCCTAGCAAACTCTCAGCACACACTTAAAATTCATCTGTATGCAAACAGAGGGCGCGCGCGAGACTGCATCGTCACTGTGCGGCAGCAGAAGGAATGCATAACGCCCGGTTTCTCGCCGGGCAATTAACCCTCCAGGACTAACAAGAGGCAAGGGCCCACCTGCCGCAACCACCACGCAGTCAACTACTTATACCACTCTGTTGCAAGTCAATTCGCCCGGCAATTTAGGCTCCGCGACGACCTCTAAAACTTAACGGCCACTTGTTTGGAAGCGTTTTTGATCGTGAAATTTAGAAGACGTACGAAACCGTGTCGATGACTCTCTGAAATTGAGTACACGTACTAACGTTTTATGTAATCAAAACAGATCGACATTAAAATAAGACTTGCGCAAGTATACAAATTAGCGAGTGATAACAAACATAGCTAACCAAGTACTATGACGTTCTAAACCCATGACCAATGTGATACAAAGAGTGCCAATTAAAAATTAGAGATTGCTAATTAATTTCGTTTGGATCAAAAATATCTGCGTTCTTCCGCTGGCATGATACAAATGTACCTGACAGTCGAATACAAACTTCAGCATTTTAAATGTTAATGGGAATCTGCCTACGATATTGGAAGAAGCGGACAGTACTAAGGAACGCGTATTCTTTGTTACTTATTTTCTCCTCCTTGATATTTCCCCACATCTTATAATTTAAAACAATAGGAAACGGTTTCTGGACGCATATCTCTGCACTGGTTCGTTAGCGAAATCCAAATTGCTTTAGGGTACCAAGCCCTCTCAATAAATTTCTTCAATTTCCACAGCAACAAAAACGTCATCTGATGCTCGCTGGCGCCAGTGCGAAATCACATCCCCATTACTCCATTTGATAAATCTACGTCACGGGTCCGCTCTCTTTATTTTTCTTCCGTTGACCCAACCACCCCAGGACGCCCGCGGGGGCGAAAGGTCGCCCGAGAGGCCAGCGGCGGCAGTCAGCGGAGGGTGAATCACGCACGCACCGGAAGCGGCGGCGCGCCGCAGCGGGCGGGCACGAGCGCGCATTCCGTGAGGCGGGGCCACGCGGGCAACCCGGCACGGCCGCCGCCCGCCCGGCCGGCCAAGGCCGCGCCGACCTCCGCTTGTCTTGAACCCACTTGAGAGGGAGCACTTGCGCGGCGCCAGTCAATTGGGCGTACTTGGGCGGGTTGCTGCCGCAACGACTGACGGCGGCCCTGGGAGAGAGAGACTTCGCTTCTTCCAAGTGTTAGACGTGCAGACAAGGGCAAAAACGCAATATCAAGGGAGTCACCATTTACCTTTTTTTTTCTTTTTTTTTCTTTTATCGTTAGCCCAATATTTCGGGTTGTAAGGATGAGACTTTGCTGCGAAAAATTTCCAGCCCGAGACATCAGTAAGCCTGAAAAGTTTTATTCGAAAATTATTAACAACAATTATTTATTACACCGAAATTTGGTTGGATCTTTTTACAGCACCAAACAATACCATGAACTTCCGCCTATCACATTCACACCAGCTAAAATCCAATCGCTCGATGAACGTTCGAAGAATGGAGCTAATGGGTGACAGCCACCTTCACCTGCCTCGCAGCGGTGACTTACTTTCAAGTCCCCGCCAAGAAAAATTAACCACGCCTCTACGCTCGGCCAGTCCCCCAAAGCAAGCCTCCGCCAGCGGTTCCGCGCGCCCCGTGCGCTTCCCGTAAACGGCAGCGTTGTCGCCCGCCTGCGCGTCCTTGCGCGGCCCGCCGGAATTCGTTCCTGCGTGCACGGGGCCGGTCCCCGCCTGCCGCCCACCGTGCATTCATTCGCAAGGTCTGCCGCCAGGGTCGAGGTTTCGCGGCGGCGGCTGGCTGGCGCTTCCCGCACGAACGGCTCACGCAGCTGCTGCTGCCTCTTCGCGACAGCTGCTCTGGGCGGCGGTGCACAAGGCGGTGCGGAGCGGCGCCGGGCCGCACCGCGCCGCGCCACGGCCGGGCGCTTACCACCCAGGGTCTCGTTCAAAAAGGAATGACACGCGGGCGATGTATCTTCCCGGGCATACACACGACCACGGGGGCGTGGCGCCGTTCCTTCCTGATGACACAGGGCGGGCAATGTGCCCGTAACTTTTCTCTTTGTTGTGAAATCTAATCGACCATCCACGGCCTCGAGAATTCGGGCGCTCAAGAAATGGAATATCCACGACACTGAAAAAATGTCAATGTTTTAAGTTTGATTTCCATATCTTGATTCATAATGAATTTACTTTCTAATATTTTCCCCTCCCAAGCGATAAGTGGTTGCCAGAAGAATCTCTTATCTGGATATTTAATGTCAAATTTTGTATTTTCGATGTTGCTGTAACTTTTGACCAGCAATGATTAAAATTCTGAGTAATAATGTTAACATTGCTAGTGTTCTCGCACGAATACAGTATTTTGATTTTCTTTCCGTGTTTTATTTTATCTTACACAGAACAAACAATTTTTGTATTCTGAAGAATTCCATTTTCAACTAAAAATTAAAGATCCCATAGTACACTCAATACAGTAACTATGCCATTCGTTTCAGTTCGTGCACATCGATTTAATACTTTGTCAGTAACGTCAATAACCGACCTGCGAAACTTCGGAGAGAGAAAAATATATTGGACGAAGAAATAAAAGAAATCTTCATCGGAGTTATATTTTTTTAGAAATTAACTTTCTCTTCGGCGAGGCTTTCCGCATTTCGATGCTTGTTTTGAATATTAAAATTTTATTATTACTTACAATATTATTTTGCGTAACAAAACTTTAATTGTTCCCTTATAAATGCACACCTTTTGAGGCATGAAGACTGAACGTACATACGTTTATATATTCATCTGTACGAACATGGATGCAGTAACTTCCAAGGATACGTTGTAATTTTAACAAATACTACCATGACTCATTTCAGATGTTAAATAAAATTTTATTCTAAAGCATTAGCCTCAAGGCTACTAAAAATCAGCCACTACCTGTTCAATGTTATTCTCATGTTGAAATTTCTATTTTAATTTTATACTTCAGATATTTGCGATATTCACCAATATTTCTCGAAAGTTATTTGTATACTCTTTAATTAATACTGGCTAAAGAAGAATTTCATCAAAGAAAACAGCCTAAATTAGCATTTTCTGCTAACAAGTTTCAGGGACAGTACGGCACGAGGGTGGCAAATGACAAGTCACTAATAAAAAAGAAAAATTGAATAATTATATAATAAATTATATATTTTGGCAGTGATAAGAGCTCCTTTCTAAAATCCAGTGAACATTGAGGATGTCCTTAGCAAAACAACGATTGTCAAATGAAAGAACTTTTTTCAGTGTAGTCCCTGTCACCCTAGGGAGAGGGCAAATCACTTTTCGTACTCCCTACAACAATAATGAAATATTTTCTTAGTCTTTGTTCAAAACAATAATACATTTTATAAATTACAATTCTCCTGATTAAACAATTCTTCGATGTTGCTGTGCTAGGAATGGCACCCCTCTGCACTTCATTTTTGAAGTGACCTGCAGTGAACTTTAAAAAGTTTTCTTTTACATTTCGTTGTCACTAGCTTTCTTTCACATTATTAAAATGTACTTCATCTCGCAAACATTTTCAACAAGAAATGTCAGAGCCAAATGACGAAGCACAACAGGTATTGTAAGCAGCATTTTTTTTAAAAAGCATTCGACGTTACTTTACGTAAACCTGAACGGAGGAGGAGGCGAAAAGAACGCAGACAATTCTTACAACCGTCGATTCTCTGCATTCCTGCCGCATCCCACCTCCGCGCATTCCGCATTTGTTTGCCGTGCGCGCGCGGGAGGGCACGAGGCGACCGCGAACACGCCGTGACACCTGGCAGCGCAGCCAGCCGGCCGACCGGCCGGCCGGCCCGACCCGCATGGGCACTGCCACTGTCGCCGCGCCAACCGGTCCCGCCCAGTCCTGGCTCCCAAGGTGCGTCGGGGCATCCGACCTCCCGCGGGTCGGGTCTTTTCCGTTCCCTTGTATACCCCGTGGATATATAGACTCGAAGCGCGCGGGAAGCGGGGGGGACGAGGGGGAGAGAAGGGGACGCAAAGATGGGAGGGGCGCTCGGGAACCGGGAGTGCGCGTGCCCCGCCAGAGAATGAGGGGGGCCCCGACACGTTGGAACACGCCGCGCCGGCGGGTTTGGAGCCGCTTGCCGGGCGTTGTGCAAGCGGCGCGGCGCGGCACGGCGAGACGGGTCGCCGACGTCAACAAAGCGGAGGAAGAACGTAACGTTCACCGTTGTACAAAATGAGCTAAAAAAGAAAGGGGGGCTCAAAGCATGCAACCGTCGGGAAGGGCGTTATCGCATACATGCGAAGAAAATCAATGTTTCGCCGACAACACTGATTTAAGGCGGCCAGAGCATACGGCGGACCGAGTGGCGCGCTGGCGCTACACGCCAGCGCCAAACAATCAATATTGCAACAAACTTACATAGGCGTGGTAGCGAGCGGCGGGAGCCGGCAAAATCGCCCGAAACAGTTTTCGTCGGCATTGTTTTACCATGATAGTTCGCTACGCACAAACGAAACATACGTAATATCGAACAATGATAATAAACATCACATGCGCGGTCATGCTGGGTAGAGGAGCAACACAGCATCGGCAAGAAACAAATGAATTAAGACACGCGGTCTCTTACTGCAGTGATGTTTATTTCCAAAGCCAGAATGCACGTTGAATATTCACGTTGAATAAAAAATTGATGCAAGCAGAAAATAAAAATAATTAAGCCAACAGTGACGCCGGCCCATGAGAAACTTGACATGCGTTAACTAAGAAGATCGTTACACGCTGGGAGTAGGAAATCCTATTATTGAACGATCAAGGTAACGATTTCGCATAGGCGCGCAGCAATGTCATTATGCATGCAACTGTACAATCCAACAATACATTTTAAAACCAATATTCTGTAGTTTAGCATCACCATATTAAAACAATGTTCTTTGTCGATGCATGCACACCGTTAGACTTCTGAATATACGTTGCGGTAGCAAATGAAACATGCAAAACGTGAATGGAAGTCGTAGTACTCATATCTTAGTAAACAAACTTTCTTATCGATTCGACTTCCACGCCACTTCCATAAAAATTAAAAGAGAACTTAACAAAAAATACTGGACTAACCTCTTCTCGGCGTTTCAACCACCTTCCACAGGGACTTTCTTCCAGAATTTCACTCTCATCTTCTGAATCCTCGCCGCTTTCGCGTGGTGACTTATGATCGGGATCGTTACTCGAGCGACTTCCAGGCATTCCGGACCAGAAATTTAACTTAAAATTCACAAATTAATACGTCTATATAACAGACGTAGCACTGTTTACTGCTTAATAGACATTTGGTAAAACACTTTTCACTGCAATTCACAGCCATGGATCATTCAATTCACACAAGCACTCTACATTCCCTTTTGATGATGTTACTGGAAGGTCTCTGTTGCTGCTCATTGGCTTAACGGGATATCACGGCCGCTAGTTTCGAGCCTTGAAAGGCTGCATTACAATGTATTTCGCAAGATCACAGACCACATATTCCATACTTCTAATTTCGTGAGCACACGCCGATAATGCGGAAATATACCGACATTTAAACAAACAAACGCCTGCCTAATGCAACAACAAAGTAACATCCACGATACTGTCTCCCAATGCACTGAGCGATCGGCTTACGACCTTGTGCACACTGCTGCTTGCTGCGGACAAATGGGAAACTAAATGGTTGGTATTACACGCTACCTAGGGAGCTTTGTTGGAACTAACCTGAATTAATTGAAAGGAAAATCGTTGGTAGGAACAGGAATATAAACATGCTAGTGGAATAAGCTTGTTTTTAATGTCTTAAAATATTGTTTTTCAAATTTAACTTTTGTGTACCAAATAACAAAAAAGCCAATATTAATATATTATTTGCTGTATTTTTGCTTATTACTGAATGCTGGAATATTTTCTGCACTTCATGCTAATAATTTCTGTAATAAGCTTATCATATCAATTACAAATTAAGTTTATGCTTTTAATTTACCACCAAAAGGACTCACAAAACATAAATAACACAAAAATTTATTGAAAGCAAAATTGTGACAAGAGAAAAAATACATAAAGCATTTCATTCATCATATTCTGTTCTAAAACACAGAATATTAAACTTATAAATTGATTTAACTTCAGAAAATTCAGTACATATTTTAACAGTCAACATCAAAGAGTATAAATTTAAAAGACAAGTCTAGTGACAGAAAAATAGAATTCCATTAGACTAGAAAAGTAAAACATTTTTTTTAACATTAATATAGAATTAATGAAAGCCCACTTAATAAACATTAACATGATTTTTATTAATAAATTAACATTCAATCTTATTATTTATGATATGGCTTATTTTGCTTACATGTCAAAGTATATTCAAGTCAGTTCAATTCTGTTCTTATGCAATGCATGGAAAATACTCTTCTCAAGAAATGCTGTTGGATACTTATGTCTGAGACATAAGTTATACTTTGTTTGTATTATAATGAACTGATATTTCAGGAGATTGTGCTATTTTAATAGCATTCATTTGATAATTACATATACTCTTCACTTCCACTCACAAACCTAAGGTTTACCTTTCCATTAATTTTTTTAAACTAATGTGCAAGTTTGTAATATGTTGTTTAAGTTCTTAAGAAGAATAATTTACTGTAATGAAACACAATTAATTAATGCTTATAAAAATGTATGTTAACTGACTTGATAAATGCCCTTAACAACGTAATTCAATTAACGTGTACAAATTTTTGGACACAGCACAGAAATACTTTTGTGGTCAGTTCAGTGAATTGTACTGACCAAAGGAGATAAATGGGTTAGTTTCATTCCAAGTCATTTGAATTTTTCTTCTTCTTCTGTCTGGCCACTTACATTTTAAAATGTCTTAAAATAACAATACAGTACAAAATAAGACTGCCATTTTTTAGTTAGTTTGCAACATTATTTTATATCTATGAGTGATATTCAATGAAGGAAAAAACATCAAATTTCAAAATTCAGAATTTTTTGTTTCATGAAACTCCAGAAACATTAAAATTATATTGATAAATGGTTTAAGATAATACATTATATTACTAGATTACTTTGGTTATAATACCATATACTGATTGTGTGTCGCTGAAAATAGCATAACAATATTCATTTACTTATTTAGTTTCTACTATAACATTTCACTACATTTTGAATGATAACAAATTCTCTTGTGAACAAGAAAATTGAATATTTTAAGAAAAATACATTTATCTGACAATGGATTTTTGAGTAAGGCTTAGTTGTTGAGCATAAGGTACACATTGAAATTGTATATTTATGCATACCTTTCATTTTAGAAAAATGTTGTACACAATTTCGAAGAAAAGTTTAACAAACATGAACTTCTTAATGTAATATAATCATTATTCTATTTTTTTTTTCTCCTTTTCACAATGTATATAATCTTATATCAAATTTGAATGGCAACAGATGTACAATTATATTGTATAAATTATATGAACATTTCTTAACATGTTAGAGTGAGAATTTCATTATAGGTTCATAAAAATGTAATTTAAGAGAATTATATTAGTGTCAAAAATTGAAGATCTTCCAAGTCATAAAATTTAAACATAATATTTACCTACAATATTACAATAACAGTTTTATACATCACATAACACAAAATTTACACAAGGAACACATCTGGAACTAGAATAACTACTTAAGTATGTACAATATGACTGACTCTGAAGAGCGAGTTGTAATTTAACAATATAACATTGCCATGTACATTTCAAAGCATCAGCCAGTGATTCTTCAACTTTAACTCCAAAAATAGAGAGCTCTGAGTTGAAAAAGTTCATGAATATTCATAGTTTATTATAAAATATTTTCGAAAATGTTAAACACAAGAGAAGCCTACAATGGCACCACATGAATTAAATATTCTTGTCAAATTAAGGTTCTTGACAAGCTCTTGAAAGAAGAAAATGAGCAGTCAAAGATGAAACACATGTTTAAACACATTAGCTATCGTGTCTGTGCAGATGTTGGAGTGTCCATAACTTCCATGTCATCACGGCACCGAGGTATGTAGAGAGTCACACAGGCATGCTCCCAAATCTCTTGAGGATAACGATCACCAGTTGTCCACTGTCCAGTATCAAGGTCATAATATTCTATTACAGCTGACAACAGAGAAAACAGGATATAGTAATTAAACAATATTATCTTGAAAATCATTAATTAGGAGAAGTTCATAATTGAAGTGGTTAAAACTAGAGCAAGGCAACCCTAAATATTAAACAGGCTTTGACAAGCCAACCTTTTCAAAAACAGAATGGTACAAATGTAGTTCTAGCAGTAGTGATCAGAAGCCAGCACTAATCAGGTCCAGGCCATGTGAGAGATAAAGCTCATCAACTGAAGACACATGTGCTAATCAAAAATATATCATACAGAACCCACTCTGGCTCTAACCACCTCAATTACAAAAATTTAATCCATAACAATTGACAAGCAGAAAATGTTAATAAACAAAAAATTTCAGATTCTTTTACAGTGTTTAAATCAGAAGAGGGAAATCGGAAGAATAGGCACAACACACAGATTTTCTTTCTATTACGCAACATGTTGGGTTGCTTAATAGAAAGTCTGTTCCTTTTTCCAATGTTTACAATCCAGTTTACATTGAGCCATGTGTTTGTATTAACATAATTCAATTATAGATATCTTTTGTCTGACAGATAAAATAAAAACTTAATGCTTTCAGCATGAAAATAGAGAAGAAATTGATAAGTGCTTTTTTCTGCAACATCTTGTCATTTTAACTTCCAAAAATCTATTTCACAAGATTTGAGGCTTACATAACAGAATTTTATAAAATGGTTTTTACATTTTCCAATTCAACTTGTTAATAGGAGGAATACGAAATAGATTGTGACTAGGAAACACCTTTATTTAATGAGGAAATTTTATTTTAATACATGTACACATTTCTGTTGTTTACTTGGTACCATTAATGTTTGCAATCAATTGTTTATTTATTTTATTAAAACAATTAACACAAACATTAAGAGGGCAATGCTTAAGAAACAAAATTATGAGACTGATAAAGAGCAAATGTAATTAGCAGATGAGTAAAATGAAATGTATAGCTATGTCTGAAATAAAAAGGTAATAATATACAAAAATGAATGGTTATAGGAGTTCTTTGAAGCACCAATAGTCATTTGAAAAATCTCTCAAAAAAATGAAGTCTAGCCATGAATCATGTTTGCTACTACAAGAAACCTTTGCAATTTGATTACTGTCAGCAAAGAATGATTAAAAGATGTTTAACAGTAAACATTGTACATTGATAATATGATTTAAAAAATTGGGGCTTATTCTGGAAGAAGGGCACATAAGTCTATATGTTAGCACAGGCTTATGTGCCCTTCTTCTGGAATAAACCTCAGTTATTATTTTTGAATTTGATTGGGTCAAATGAGTTATTATAAACCACACAAGTTAAATAAAAAAATCAAAACACACAAACAGAAATGATTGAAAATGAAATAAGAATGAGTAATAACTCACTGTTCTTGAAATTTATAAACTAATATGGATAAAAACCAACCAAAACAGGTTTCACAAATAATTTTCTGAAATATCACTATCACTGCAATGTTGATTAAAGAAAATGTGTTTTATGAATTAATTGAGATTTGAGAACAAATATACAGTAGATATAAAAAAAATATTTGCAAAATTAAAATAAAAAAATAAAAATATACAAATTTCTGTTGTCTTATCTTTTAATTAATATTTTTTTATCTTCTTCCATTTCAAAACTTTTTTTATCAAGGGTAAAGGGTAAAGAAAATTTCAAATAAATTTAAATTAAAAATGAAAGAAAATTATTTCAAAATTTTACTGAATTAGAGAAAGAAGGAAAAGGGTTTTTCATAAAGGAATGCAAAGGTGTTTAGTTCTTCCAAAAAATATTAATCAAAATAACAATTCCATTTTAATCAATGTGTTACCTAAAATTACTAACAAAATTATTAATGGTTGTTTACACGCATAAGTATTTGCTGTTTTGTAAATAAATTGTCAGTTACTAATTATTATATACCAAATTTATAAGCAATTATAATCTACGAAAAATGTATGCATTAATGCCATATAACATAAAAAATATGTATTAAAATATGCCCTGTAAAATTTACATATTTTATCATTTTATATTAACATACCATAAAGCTGTTTTTCATAATTTTTATGCATAGTACATTCATTCAGGGCTTGACTATAATGATATCACTCAATGCTATTTGGGGAGAAGTAATAGCTTCTACAATGGAATGTTTGCAGCTAAATTTGATTCACCATTAGCATTAAAACCACATTTGGATAAAATTCTGAGAACCTTTAAACAGCCACTGTCATACTATGGAAAGGGAAGTTCCTTTCTTTTTCACAGCCTGTGTTCCTCACATTTGTAGGGTAAACTCCCCCTTCGGTGTCTTGTGGGAATGCCATTCATTTGTATTATTTCATCAATGCAAGGTTTTCAAGATGAACTAGATAATATGTAATACTCAAATCATCTGTGATTTTTAGTTAAATATCACATATAATTCAAATATAGGAAATTGAATTTAGCTACAATGAATCACTTACACTGAAACTCATATTACAAAATTAAAAATTAAATTAGTTAAATTAAATATAGTAATTAAATATCAATAATGACAAACCTTTTCAAATATACAAAATAAAAAGGAATTTTCAAAAATATAATGGTTAATTTAATTTCAAGCAAAATTTGCAAGTAAAGTATCACACAATCATGATTAATAATAGGAAATATTGTGTTTCATGCATATACCAAATGAGCATACTTTCTGACTACATGGGATAACTAGGCATTTGCACTGAAATCCTATCCCTAGTAATGATATTTTGTTTCCAATAACTAGCCTATATTTTTAGCAGCAGCCAGCAAACTTTGTTAGTTTTGTAACATAAATAACTACTAAATGAATCGGTTTTAAGATATGAATCAAAATCACTATCTAAATTACACTATGTATTCACAGAAACTTCTTCTACCATATCCATATTATCTTTGTTTTATTAAAGTCAGTGTTTTAAAACTGTGAATTTGCAAATTACAAACAACTCATTCATAATTGAAAGCTTGAGAATATGTACTATCCAACATTGACCAAGTATGATCTGATCTTTGATCACACTTTACTTAGAATTTTCAATTAAAAAAAGCAAATTTAAATAAAATTTGTTAGTTGTTTTAACAGATTTCTTCATGTTTAAGATTTGTCTAGAAAGTAATAACATTAGTATTAACTTTCTCAGTGGTATGAAGATACTTGTGAAATAGTGTTTGTAGAGTTATCTTTAAAAACTGGAAGTTCTATTATGCTATCAGAAGAAAAGGTATTTGTTCTGGCTAGAGGTGCAAAAAAGACAAAAAATTGTGATAAATGAGCATTAGAAAAGGACCTACAAGTCAAAATAATTTCAAAAAGGCATTCTCAAGCATGAGATAGGATTCTTTGTTATTGAAGAAAATCTGACAGCATCACTAAAATAAATTTTTATCTTGTCTGGTAATATCTCATTTTCTGGCAGTTACTTATATAACTTCCTGAGCCTTGAGTCTATGTTCAACACTTAATGCCTGAGATTGTAGAGAAAGGCAAAATTTGATAGTGCCCATATGTTGTCCAGGCTTGCCGACAGGTTTTATGGTGGATGATCAGTATCAGTAGAAAAAGGATATGTTGATAAAAAGGAAGGAAAAAGTCTAAATACTGTCAATAAAAAAATATAAAATAAATAAGTCAAATAATTAAATGAATTTCACATACATGATTATATGATTTCTATTTTTAATTCTTAAAATCATAAAAGTAACACAATTTGCCAAACTTTCCAGTTCTGGCTACCAATTAATTAAAAATTGTTCGACTCCCAGTCTTTAATCCCTAAGTCTTATAAACAATGATTCACAGAACAATTATTTATTTTGCAGCATTTTTCATCTTTCTCAGATCTGACATTATTTTGCACTTTTCTAACCACATTATTGATAGAATTTATGTGGGAAACTTACCAGTAGCTCGATCAAACATTGCATCACTATGAAATCCCCCAATGAAGTAAATGCAACTGCCCACTCCAACAATTCCAGCATGGTATCGAGGAGTGGGCACATGAGTTATTACTTCCCAGCTGTCAGTGGCAGGATCATATGCATCAATTGTATCTGCCAGTATTCTATTTCCTGTTTCCCCTGTTTCATACCTATGAAGAAAATAAAATACTATATATTAATCTGATAAGATTACAAAACTATAAAACAATAGTATTCTATTATGCTTTTATGGAATATCATATTATTACTGTGAGGTTATATCTTTTGTGGGGTTCATTGAAGTTTTTTATATGAATTATGTGCTCTCTTACTGAATAGTTTAGTGTGAATTTCTTCATATATTTCAATTAAGAAAGTTTCTTTGTTAACGGTAATAGATATGGGACATGCTGGGGTTATTATGTTAATGTAGAACAACTTACTATATTAAGAATCAATGCAAACTTTTTAAGACAAAGAATTTATTAATTTCTACATTAATTTGGAGAGTATGTTCTTTCTGCGGTTCAATATATTACCTTGTTCCCATCATATTGCAATATTAGATGTTGAAAAAGGTGGAATTCACTGAGCTGAAATTAAATTATGACAATGCACATTGTTGTGTTACATGTAATTGTTGATTTTTTTGTTTTCATTTTTTGAAAAGAATAGATTCCTACATTTCTTGGCACAACAAAAGAAGTAAAACACTATGATGACACTCATTACCCTTCTTTCTTCTACACTGAATTTAATACATAATTTTAATTTTCCAAGTAATCCACAATAGACCCCCTTTTCAAAAAGTTCTTTCAACATGTGCTTCACTTCTCAAAAAAGAAGAAATGTGCCTTAACTGAAGTTATTTAATATTTTCCTAACATTTTGGAAATATGTTTCAAAGCATAGCTATGTAGTGGTACGAGGGTCAGACAGTTTTTATTTTGTAGTTAATGTTTTCAATGTCATAATACCATAGTAATTTAATTAATATGAAATGCACATTAGAACAACATTAGAACAAACAATTTATTTGGTTTTTCTTGAACACTTTTTGTCTAATAATAAAAGAAGCATTATTCCAGTAAATTAATTCATAAAACTAGAAGGTTTACATGAACACAACATTCACATTTTTTTTGTAATATTTCATGAATGCCAAGAGAACCATATGTTTTTCTCTGAAGCAAAATTCAAGGACATCATCAAAAGTGGACTTCATTTGCACCTAGCTTGAATTCAAGAAGTTTATTAATCACTGTGGTCATTTTGTGTCAATCATGACAAGTTATTTACAAATTAAAAGAGGGCAGTGACAGCCTAAATAGGACCACTGTGCTGACTTATTGACTTGACATCATTTCCTAGAATTCAAAATTTTCCAATGATAATTTGAAACTTATAAATCATAATTTTGATAGAATCAGTAGATTTCGATAGAATTAGTAGAATTTTCTTTAGAAAAAAATCAGTTGTTAAAAGGATGTTTGTTAGTTTAATTTTTGAAAAATAAATCAGAAAATTAATTTGAATTTGTTTAAGTATTTCTCTACTTTGATACAAAAATGTTAAAAAAATATTTGACCCACCAGCCTCCACAGGCATACAACTTATTGCCAAGAGCAAGAAGAGCATGATCTGCTCTTGGCGTCAGCATTGATGCTTGTGGTGTCCATGTATCTGAATCTGGATTGTATGCCAATACTGATGAAAGCACTAGCCCTCGATCTAATCCTCCGGATACTACTAGCTTGCCTCCTTGAGAAGCTCCAGCATGTTGAGAGCGTAGGCCTGGTAAAGAGCGTATGCACTCCCAACTATCTGTTGCTGGATCATATCTCTCACATGCAGATACCTATGGATGAAAATCAAAGCTTTTATTTTAACCTTGGAAAAATAAAATAAAAACAACAAAAAAGAACTTAAAAGATAGTTAGGGGAGCTTGCACAGCTCAGATAGCCCAGACTTTGTGTTTATTTATAACATTAGGTAAAATTAAAATAATTATACTGAAACTTATTTATTACCAATATTTCAGCTATCTCTTGCAAAACTTCTAGAAATGCAGTACACTACTTATGTTCATTTTCTGAAATCTTCAAGGACATATTGCATCAAGAAAATGTACCTTTGCATATGAGCCCAACAATCTGATTTTTGATGCTAAATTTATACACCTCAATAACGTTTTTTGGCATTCATTGCCATGGTAACACTAGTATTAAAAAATTCTTCAGTTTCAAATACTTTTGTTCCCACTTTTTAAATATAAATTTTCCTCCTCATTCATAAATGCTTCAGAAAAAACTTCAAAGAGCTGTACGTAGGCCCAATTGAATTCAGATATCTTGATATTTTCTTATCAAGAATTTTTCATTTACACAGAATATAAAATGCAGTTTTAGGAGCATTTCTTTACTTGTGGTTAATATTTATAATGTTAACAAAAGACATATTAAATAAATTTTGTTAGGAAAGAAAATTAGTAAAAGCTTTATTTTTGAATATATATCATTGGTTTCTGGATGGGTTTGGAGGGGGGGGGTAGACTCATGAGCCCCCATGGGTGCTAATGATACAATTGATTTGTTAAATCATATAGGGGTCATCCATATATTACATAACACTAACGAGGGGGGAGGGTGTTTGTGGCATGCGTTGCATAGGCTTAATGGGCTTCTAGTTTATTGTTATGGAACATTGATATTGTTTTATATTTTTAAACATTTGCAGAAATAATTCCATATTTTTGTTTCTGTTTTATAAAAATATTAACTAATTAATTTTGAAAACTTAAATAAATTGAAGTTATTAGACTTGTTAGGCCACCAATAAATTCCAACTTGAATTAACACCAATTTTAATACATAACACGAATATAATGAATGCAAATTATTTTTTGTGTGCTATAATTTATTTTCACTTCTTGTATTTACAAGAGGGTGGGGTATTGTTACCAATGTTATGCAATTATTTTTTGGGGGGGAAGGGGGGATTTTAGCATGCAGGCATGTAACAGAGGGAGAGAGGATATTCAAAATACTCCAAATCTGCAATAAGTAATTTACAGATGGCCCCATATATAGTTGCCAGATTGCTTGAAGAGCCTCTTCCCCCAAGGTCTTGAAACCATTTCCCAAACTGTTAAGATTAAAGACGGGGATAATCAGGGTTTGATTAAAAGGAAATATATTTTATTACATAAAGCTTCAGGGTCTCTTTCAGAATTTCCAGAACAGCACCACTCCTCTGGCCCCCTCTGAGTGCATGCCTAGGGCTCTCAAGAAACAATTAATTTTTCAATTTAGAATGGGAATGTTTTAATCTATAATGGTCTAATTAATAATCACTCATAATGACGAATTCCGATTATTCTTTATCAAACAGAAACTCTTGAATAAAATGCTTTTCTTTTGTCTTGTCAGCTATCTACAGCCACCCTAATTAGGTGGATCAGATGTTAAAAAATATACATTTGTTACCTAGATATCACTAATTTCAACACTTCGTTGAAAGCTGGAAAATAACTTCATATTTAAAGAAAATATTCATAATCTAGAAATGTATTCAGCAATTATTTCAAAACTTAAGAATCAAGAAAGCAAAGCCAAATAGAAATTACATTTTCACTTACATCTGTTTCATCGGGGGAATCCAGTTCCGTTTCAGATGCTCCCCCAACAGCATACAGATACCCTCTAAGAACATTGAGAGAGAATCGACATCTTTCTCGCTGCATTGGTGCCATTGTACTCCACTTATTGGCACGAGGACTATATCGAAAACCAAAAGGATGAATGTTCTCCTAAAAATAAACCATAAGGGAAATTTCAAATATCCTACATGTCTTAATTTATTCAAAATACTCTGAAAAATACATATAAATCATTTGTAATAAAATTGTAAAATATTTACATGAACCTATTCAATAAATTTTATAAGTACTCTTAATTTTACTAAATTTAAAATAACAAACTATTCTAGTGACAACATGTTCAGTTTTTAAACAATTTTAATCTTATTCCTATTTCTCTCAAAAAGCAAAGATTTGTCAATAATGCACAACTAACACGAATGTTAAATAAATAGGAAATAAGTGATCCTAAGATTCTGATTGAAAATCAGAATAAAGGTGAAATATTTACTAAATAAAAATCTCTAATTACCCTGGTGCAGGTTACTTCAAAAGAGAAAAAGACAATTAAAGAATTGTGACATTAGCACTCACAAGTGTTGAAATAAAAATCATTTTCTACACTTCAGTGATTCTGAATGAGAAATGTCAGAGATGTTTTAGTATAGTTTTTTAAAAATATTTTATACTCACATTTTCAATACAACAGATTGCTGTTTAATAAACTGAAAATTATATTTTGATATGCCCAGTTCTACTGCCTCTTTAAAAAAATCTTCAATTTTTTTTTTCCTTTCAAGATTCTATTTTAGATTTCTAAAATAAAAGATTGAGAGCCTAAAAGTCCAATGTCTAATGATGATGAATTATTAATTAGTACAAATTTCCAATAATGATTATTGCTATTTAAATTTTTTTTTAAAATTACTCTAGTTAAAAATAATGTTAAAAAATTGACAAAATGTGGTCAAATGGTTTAGGAATAGTTTAGTACTTCATCTTTCCTTTTTTCTTTTTCTTTTCCTTTTCCTTTTTTTTTTTAAATTGTAAAACAAAAAAAAAATTATAGAAATGTTATGTCACTTATTACGAGATGATGTAAATGATTCATAACCAAATGCTTTGGAATATCATTGCAAAAATTCATTTTTATCCATCTTTAAAATTTATTTTCCTGTTGACCTCTATATTTATTTTTTACTAACCTGTAGTGACTGGTTGAAACAACCTCCAACAACATACAGCTCATTGCCAAGAGTAGCAGTGCCAAAATTGCACTGTTCAACATGGGGAATGGTTGTCAGGTGCCTCCATCGACCTGTACTGGGCAGCAGGTATGTGATTTCATTGGTGATACCAGCAATGCTAAAGCCTCCAACTTTTACAACAGCTAGTTCCATGCCTCTTGAATTAACTAAAGGCGAAGCACCAGTAGTAATGGCAGGACATCGGGGTCGTGCCTGGCGACATGCTTCAGCAAGCACCTGAAAAAATAAACCCACAGAATGATATCAAATTAAATGCATCATATGTGGAGATAAAATTATTTATATAAATATGCTATCCTGTTCACAACATAGAGGTTAATGAATTAAAACATGTAAAATTTTTTTACAATATTTGTAACTATTACCATACTTTTACTACATTAGTAACTTTCTCCATCCCTTTATAGCAATTCATAACAGACTATTAGAACAACAATAACAACAATTATTAGAAAACATTGTGATTCTTTCCCTATTTTTTTAGTTTTTTTTTGTCGATTATTTCTAATCCTTTCACATCATTCAAAAGGTGTTATCTTGTACGATTTCAGCACACTACTCCCACACATTTTTCCATTTCAATGTATGCATCATTTTCAACTCTTTCACAAAATTGTTACAACTTATTTATTTTATTAGATATTCTTCTTTAAAATATTATAAGAGAAAGTCAATAGCATAAATTTTTACATGCATGTTATTATTCACAGTCTCACAGATCTTTTAAGAGGATTATTTATATGAATTGAACACAATTGAAAAATATTACTTTGTAAAGTATCCAATTACTTTAAAGATTTTGAAATTAATACACATTTGAGAGGCACAACACATTAAAATATAACACAAGTACTACAACAGAAATGAAGAACATCATGCTTTTTGTTTAATAAAAGGAAATATGTTTAATTAAAAAAAACAAAAAAACATTATGTAGCAAATTACATCTTTTTTACTACAGACTCTTTATGTTCATTATTTTATTTTTAATATTATTTTCTTGCGAGGTAACAGGGTATTAAAGCAATTTGCTTTTAAAATGGAAATTAATAGTATTCAACATAATAAAGAAATAGATTGGTAACAGAAATAATATTTTTGTAAAAACATTTATATATAACATATATTAATTACTTTCTATTTTAAATTAAGGAAAGACATAAATGCCAAACTGCTATACTTCCAAAGTCTAATGAAATTCCATCCACCTACAAAGGTCACATTTCATTGAGGGAGTAGTAATCAATATTAACAATTAGATATGAAGAGTCAAGTTCGTATTATAATTGACTTATTTGAACTTGTTCAACATATATCCTAACTCTCAGTGATTGTCAAATAGGATTTCTACATCTTCACACAAATTTCATACTTTGATGCTTCCCTTTTAGCTCTTCTATGTGGGCATTTGAAATGCATTCACAAAGTATCAGAAGAAACATAATTAGCAGTGTTAAATGTTATGTTCACCCTATATCATAGGTTCATTTTAATTATTTTGATAGTTTTGTACTACCCATTCCAAAATGTTGAAACACTTTTAGCACACAATGTGAGGTGCTTTGTCAATATTTTCTTTTTGAGGCATCAGTTCTGAATTTACTTATTTTTCTTCTAATTATTAATATTCAACATATTATATACAATTTTTTTGTCATTACTTTATAGCGAATTTCTGGTCACTTAATATTTAGCCCACGAGTGTAACGAAAGTAGCCTTTTTTATGTATCATAACTGACAGAGGCTGAAATTAACTCCATGAATTTCTTTCTGCGTTTTTCTTTAAATTACATTTTTTAATGCCTGGTTATTATTATATTTCCTTTTTGCATTATTACATTGAGAACAGTTTTAAGGTAATACAAAGAAAGAATTTTATCATTTATAAGTGTGGTATTTGACATTAAACTCTTGAACATTGTTGATAATCTGAATAGTTATAACAGAAGCTATTAGGTGTTTTTTAAATATTTATGAGTATGAAATATACACAAGTATTTATTTCGCACAGAAGCTAATAGTTGTTTTTTAAATATTTATGTGTACAAATACACATTGTGTATGAAATATATACATTGATGTAAATGCTAAGGAGATGCTATATTAGTTTTCTCCAAGCAATTTCCCTTTAACTGTTGAGTAAATACTGGGATAATTCTAAACGAAAGTTACAAACACTAAATGTATGTAGTTTTCCTTTCTCTTACTGAATGGCATATAGAGTTTTATACTTTTAACTTTATTAATTATGCAAGCTGTTTAGTTTTTGTGACATTAAATAAAGAAACAAATAAAGCTGACAATGCTTATTTTTCTTCTAGATTTTAGTGGAGACTGTTTAATATTTTGTTTGTGTTAATTTCTTTTACAATACCAGCATCCTAGTTTTTGAAAGACTAACTCCACAAACTGTCCTTCTGAAATCTCTGGAAATTCATTAATACAAAAAATTCTATTTTTTGAGTTGTTAATACTTAATACGAATAAAAAGAAACATATTTAAGAGGTGAAGACAATGACACAACAAATATTATATGATTTGACAACACACAAAACAAAGAAAATATGAGGAGAATGATCATTTTCAATGATTCAGGTCACAACTTCTCATTGTAATAAGACATTTTTTGAAGTAATATTATTGACCTGTGTAATATGTATGCAATATGACTAACTGGGGCATCTGACCCCAAAGTACAGAGTTCATGTTCTTATGGAAGTTTTTGTGTTTAGCAGTGAAAGACCAAATTACATTTCGTATATCTTTTTCTTTTCTTTTTTTTTTAACTTCTATTTTTTATTTTTTATTCTTTGATTACACTCATTTCAATTTTGTATACTTTGTTTGTTTAAACTCATTTTAAATGAACATGTGGATTTCTTGGAATATGGATTTCTTTGAACAATAATTAGTATATCAAAAACTTTGAACATCTCCTATTGCAAAGTATTCATCAATAAACCATCTTCCTCTGTACTTTCCACATTTTTACATTCTCATTTTGCATTCTTTACACATTTTCACTGCAAGTGTACATGAAAACCACTTTTGTGTCATGAAAATATTAAATGAAACAAAATTCAAGAAAAAAATAATGTACTTTCAACTATATTTTATTTGCTAATGGATGAAAATAGATTTCAAGTTTCAATCACACTGTTGCAGAATTACTGGGTAAGAAGTAAGAATAGAATTCTAAAAACAAATTCTCAAAAAATGAAAGTTCTTAAAAGTAGAAAAGAGGTTGGATTTTATAACACAGAAGAACTAAATGAATCTGCATAAAAAAAAAGTCGGTTTCAAAGGAAAATAATGCGTATTTAACAAGCTTCATTAATACAATATTATGTATTAATATTCAACAATGTATTATATTGTGTATACTTCATTGAACTAACTATATTTTATTGAAAATTTCATCGGAAGTACAAAACTAATGAAGTGAAAACTTCAAAACTCCAGAAAGTTTAAGTTTTCAACTTTAGTACCTTTCTGGCTTTTGTTTCAATTATACAACAGGTAATGTGTTCATTGAATGAAGTTGCACTGTAATTCATTAAACATTTTTATTATTGTTGTGAAAATTAGAATTGAAGAAATGTTCATCACTTAGTTTGACTCTCCCCTAAGGGGCCGTAACGTAAATTATGCAAAGTACGTAATGCAAATTTGGAGTATTTTCAATACCCCCTCTTAACCTTGTAATGCACCCGTACACATGTGTAATACCCCTACCAAATAATTACGTAATGCTGGTGGTAACACCCCCTCCCTGGGAAACGCAAAAGAAGTGAAAATAAATTATAGAACAATAAAAACAATTTGTATTTTTTTACTAGAGTTGTATATTAAAATTAATGATAACTAAAGTAGAAATTAGTTGGAGTTGCTGACTAACAATAAGATTGCACCTAACAATAACATTTGAGCATGTTGTGAATGAAAGAAGGATGAATAGGTGAGAAAATGTTTGATCACAAGTCGTATATACGCCATGGATGGATGACAAGGATGGATGAAAGATAGTTTGTGGTTTGTCTTTCGAGAATTAGGATGCTGGCATTGTAAAACAAATTAACACAAACAAAATATCAATCAGTCTTCACTAAAATCTAGATGAAAAAGAAGCATTGTCAGCTTCATTTATTTGTTTATTTAATGGCACAAGAACATATGGATGATGCATCTGTGAGAGCCTACTGTGCAGATTTAAATAAATTCTAGAATATACTAGATAAACATATCAGTTTTGAATCATGTCTTTGTAATCTTACACATTCAATAAAAAAATATAGAAAAAATATTTCTATTAATATTGTAAGAATTTACATGCAATAACTTTAATTAATTTATGTTTTTAAAACAAATTAATTAGTTAATATTTTAATATTTTAGTACAAGATTTAAAAATAGGAATTTTGTCAGAAAATGCTGAATAATGTAAAAAAATAAATATCAATGTTATGTAATCGTGAACTAATATCCCTCACCCCTATTTAACAGAGCATACCGCGGCCACAAACCCTGCCCCTTCGTCTTTAGCATTAGGTAATTTATGGACAACCCCTAATGTAATCTATACTATACAGTTGAATATGTGTTTAATAATGTGTATTCAAACCAAAAAAATATTTTTTCTAAAGTACCATTCAATTTTCAAAGCACATTTATGACTACAATAGGAAAAGAAAGGCACTTTATACGCTATGAAATCTTCATATTCTTGAAACAAAAAGGCAGAGAGAAAGTGAGACATGTTGTTTAATAATTTTGTAGAAACCACAGTTCTTTCAGCATATATGTATTTATTTTATTATGACAATATGTATATTCAAATAACTTTTGAAATGAGAAAAATCCTTTATGATCTGCATTCCAGGATGTGTGTCATTACATAATAATATGTAGACAACTTTCTCTATGAAATCTATGTGAACATAGGTAATATATCTTTTTAGCAAGGGGAATGGGTGGGTGATAGAGAGGGGTGCACTGGGATATTAAAAATACAAAAATATGAAATAGAATTTCAGAAAAAGAAAGCTCTGTAGCATGTCACGAAAAAACAAAAAAATGTTCAAGTACAATGAATCATTTTTAAATTAATGATTTATTTACATACATTTCTATTTGGTTTTTATGTTGATTTTTCAGAAATTCTATTCTAACTTTTAGTATTTTTCAAGTAATGTCAAAATTTTTTAAGATATGTTATGTGTCAAGTTTCATGTTACAGATGGTGCTGTGTGACTTTCTGTATGTGTTTAGTTCATTCATAAAAGTAATTTTTTAATTTTTTTGTCTTTTTATGTAATAATAATTTTTTAAGTTCCATACTATATTTATTATTACATCGTACCATCACTTTTTAGCATTTTAGAGATCTGAAAATCTTGGAGACAAAAAATATGGAATTTGTTTATTTATTTTGACTCAATGAATTGAAAATAAAATTTCAAATAATAGTGATACTACTATTTATAATAATAATCATTATTATTATTATTATTATTATTATTATTATTATTATTATTATTATTATTATTATTATTATATTATTATTATTTATAACTTTTTATGGTTATTTGAAGTGAAATATTTCCTAGTCTACATAGATTACATTGTCTACTTTGGCGCAATTCGGATTTAAAGTATGAATCTTTTTAACATATCAACAACTTAATTCAAGAATTTTTCCTATTTCATTGTATTTAGTATAAAATCGATGAAATTATCCACTACTTATCCAGTAAATTATCCAATGTCTTGTTTCTATAAATACTAATTTAAAAAAAAATTTTCAATGGAATTTTTACTTAAAGCATAACTCTTTTATTTATACTTTCCTCACAGTATTCAAATGGAATTTTAATAGTGTAGTATTGAAACATTTTTAATTGTTTACCTGTCTGTACAACTGCAGTTCTGGATAGGAATGTCCAAGAAGAGCGTTCTGCAAAGCAGCTTCCAAAGCCCTAGGAGATATTTCTGGAAAATGTATTCGACGAAGAAGACGTGGAGCATAAGTTAACCTGCCAGTGTCTCCATGCAACCACCTACAGGAAAAATAATGAATAAATTATTTTAATAGTACTGACCATAAGAATATAACAAATCTATCAAAAGGTAACAGAGTTACAATGTTCATAAATTTCATTACTTAAGTTATGACATTCTACGATAATTTATATCATAATTTTTTTCTCATTCAATTTACCCAAATTTACTTCTGATAAGAAAAGAGACAGAAGAGAAATAGTTATATCTCAAGAGTGGAATAGTTAACATGCTGATAAATCTAGTTTTTTAAAACTGAAATACTGTTTGAAACCTTACTTGAGAGATATCCGGAGAACTTCATCCTCTGGACAATCAACAGGGAAATCACAGGCCAATAAATGTTCTAATTGCGGTGGTGCCAACCTCTGGAAGTCAGGAGAGTCAGCCAACTCTCTCAAATGGGCACTCATGAATCGATACACTCTGCCACGCAACCCTGCTAATGAGTAAGTCTCAGCAATGGTTGCCATGTCTACACAGTTTTCCAAGTCCAGCTGAGCCTGAATCATAAGAAATAGTCTTTTGAAAGCATTTCATATGTAATAGGGGAAGTTTCAGTAAGTTGTTTATGTCAATTTGAAGCATTCAATATTTTAAATATACTTGTTTTCATTAATCACAAATATTTGAAAGGATTATATTTTGAAAACTGGCTGTGTAATTTTAAAATATACTAAAGTTATAAACAATTAAGAATGCTGTAGGTTTTGTTTACTGTCAAAATAGTGAAAGAATGAAAATACATTAAAAGGAAAATTCCACATAGTGGCATTGAAATTACAAGACATTTAGTAAAGTCTCAAAGAATTACAAATGACAACATAACAAGGTAAGTAGCTTTAATTTAATATTTCCCCATAGCTCATCACATACAGTTTTTAAATGTTTTTGTCATAAATAAATAAAACAAGAAGATGTATAAAGCAATACTATATAGAAAATAACTAGAAATCAATTTGTTAGGGGGCATTGTCATTATATGTAATAAATATTTCTTTCAATTGCACATTTCCTTTATTGTGTCCCCAATATTTTATATTATAAAAGACTAATAAAAATACACAGTAGGTATTTGAGTTGGTGGTACAGCATTATACAAGAAGTCTACACAACTACAGCACTTGCAATTTTATATCTGACAATGCTTCCACTAGACACTAGGAGCTTGCAAATAACTAAACACTAGTGTAATTTGTGAAATAATCAAGAAACAACACATACTTTAGCTACACTCAAGATACAACAGCACATACTTTCTTGCACGATTCCTACCTTTTCCGATTTAAAAAAATTCAGAGGTCCTCCTTGCCACTATCAAGGAAAAATTTTAATAAAAAACTTACAGCCATTTTTGAGAAAATATTAAAAATTTCCTGCCTTCAAGTAAAGTACTCCCCAAAATTAAAATACCCGTTTCAAACTCACAGTGTTTCGAGTTCGGCCAGATCGATAGAGGAACATCAATTTTGAAGAAAATTGTCTGAACGGTTCAGGTGCTACCATTAACCATATACAGATCGAAAGATCTGTACAACAATTTTGTCATTAACCAACTTTTTGGCATCAAGGACACACAAAATGTAGATTCTGACTACATAATGTTTTTGAGAAAGCAATTTACTGAATATAGAAACAAGATTTATTCCCTTTTACGATGTAATACCTCCACATTTCGAGTATTTTGCAAAATCAATGAGTTGTGTTGCATTACAATAATTTCTCTTTACTATGAAGTATGGAGGAAAAAATTAAATATTTCTGATTAATATTATTCAAACATAATATTTTCAGAGAAAAAACGAGAATAGCAAGGAATTGTTACAAAGAATAATCAAACCTTCAACACAAGGAAAGAAATTAGTCATTGTGAGATTGACTGTTGGAAAAAAATTTCAGAAGGATGTTGAGGAAAACAGGGAAGGATAAGGCACGCAGGAGCATGATGGTGGAAATATTTTGACTTCATTGGGGGAAGGTTGGGAGTGTTTGGAAGGGTTGGTATTCAAAGAGATGATGTTTGAAGAGTTGGTGGGTAAAGGGTAGGTATCCAAAGAGTATGCAACAAAAAGGTCGGTGCCCCAAAAGGT